ACTGGTCAAAGGCAAGAGGTCATTAATTTTGTTTCTAAGAGTAACAATTTTATCGTTAAAAAAGCACATAAAATCATTACTACTGAGTGCTATGGGAATAGAAGGCTCAATCGAGCTGTGGCTCTCTGTCAGCCTGGCTACAGTGCTGAAAAGAAATCTTGCATTATTCTTATTCTCATCTATTAATGAAGAGTAGTAGGCTGCTCTCGCTTTACGCAGTGCTTTCTTATATTCATTGAGAGTAATATGCCAAATTAAACGAGATTCTTCAAGTTTAGTGGAACGCCATATCCTTTCAAGTTGTCTCGACTTTTGCTTTATTTTGCGGGTTTCGGCATTATGCCATGGAGCTAATCTATGTTGTTTTATTTTCTTCTTTTTCAAAGGAGCAACAGAGTCTAATTTTATTCGCAGCGCATCTGTAGCACTATCAACAACATGATCAATTTGGGGTGGTGTACATTTTGTATAAGTTTCCTCCCTTACATGCAGACATGCTATCGAGTTAAGTATTGGTGGAATCTCTTCCTTAAATTTGGCTATAGCACTAACAGATAGGTTTCTGCTGCAGGAGCTTTTGACTAATGCTTTGTAGTCTCGTAACAGTACTTCAAAAGTTACTAAGAAATGGTCGGATAAAGCAGGATTATGCGGTTCGACTAATAGTTGCTCAATTTCAATACCATAAGTCAGAACAAGGTCGAGAGTGTGATTATAGCAGTGGGTTGGTTTATTTACACTCTGACAAAAACCAACAGAATCTAATATAGAGTTAAATGCAACAGTAAGGCTATTTTTATCATCGTCAACATGAATATTAAAGTCACCTACGATAATTACTTTATCTGTTTTAAGAACCAAAGTTGATAAAAACTCAGAGAATTCAGATAAGAATTCTGAATAAGGACCTGGTGCACGGTACACTGTAACAAATAAGATTGGCTGCAAAGTTTTCCAGGTCGGATGCGTAAGACTAAAAACGAGACTTTCAAAGGAGGTATAATTTAATTTTGGTTTAGTATTGATAAGTAAACTTGAGTCAAAGATTGCTGCAACTCCACCTCCTCGGCCCGTGCCTCGGGCAATATGAGTATTGATATGGCTGGGTGGAGTGGCCTCATTTATGCTGACATATTCTTCATGTCTCAACCAAGTTTCAGTGAGACAGCATATATCAATATTATAATCTGATATTAAATCATTTACCAATATTGCTTTAGATGCTAGAGATCTTATGTTTAAGAGACCACATTTAATATTCCTGTTTTGTTGCACTGTAGTAGTTGTTACATTTACTTTTATTAGGTTATTATGTATGACACCTCTATTAGGTTTTACCTTAACTTGTCCTTGGGCAGACACACACACCGCTAATATTGGGTATTTTATTGGGTTCGGGATTCCTATGGATGACTGCCTAGGAGAGAGCGCAGAAAAGCGTGTAAGACTGCGACTCCGCCTCCTGGTCTCAACTCCAGTTTGTCATGGATTAAGTCCACAAAGCCCTGAAATGTTTGCCGAAATGAGATGTGCACCTTCCAAAGTAGGATGAATGCCGTCTCTCTTAATCAGACCAGGTTTTCCCCAGAAGGCTGTCCAATTATTTACGAAGCCCACATTGTTTGCTGGGCACCACCAAGACAACCAGCGCTGAAATGATGACATGCGGCTATACATGTCATCATTGATCAGATTGGGGAGGGGACCAGAGAAGATTACGGTGTCCGACATTGTTTTAGCATAACTACACACCGACTCCACATTAAGTTTGGTGCATTCTGATTGGCGTATACGAACATCATTACCACCGACGTGAATAACAATCCTACTGTATTTACGTTTATTTTTAAAGTTTAAGATGCGCCTCAACGTCGCCCGCTCTGGCCCCCGGAATGCATGTGACTGTGGAGGCTTCGGTCTCTAATTTCACGTGTCTCATAATAGAGCTACCAATAACCAGAGTTGGCTTCTCAGCGGGTGTCTCGCTGAGTGGGGAATATCTGTTAGATACGTGAACGGGTTGGTGGGGACCTGCGGGTTTCGCGTTATGCCTCTTCTGAACAGTCACCCAGTCTCCCTGCTGCTCGGGAGTTGCCGGGGGACGGCTAATAGGAGCTACCTTTTGCCGGTCCGCACCGGCTAACATGGGCTTTACTGTAGCTGAGTTACTTTCTAAGATGCGGAGCCGGGCTTCTATGGCTATGATTCCCGCCTCCAACCTAACAACTATACTACATTTAAAAACATGTACCGGTACCAGTAAAGGAGGTAGGGAAGTAACCAAACATGAGACAGTTAGAGCAGGAAATAGCACCCGACGGTGGGGAAAGAGCCATGGCTAGCTATCAAGCTAAAGTAGCTACCGTTAGCAAACCCGAAAAGAGTGTAGGCAACTGTGGAGTTACAGTCGCTAAGAGAAAGAGAGTTGTGAGTGCTTAAGTTATAGTAACGTGTGATTACAACGTCAGGCAGTTGCCGTGATCAAGAGTTTTAAAACGATCGATTAAGTTAAGATAATAAGCTATCAGCAGCAGAACAGGCACATGGGATACCCGGAGATGACAACAACCGGAAGTTACAACATGCTTACCGCAATAGTGCTTACCGCAATAGTGGTCCGCATAAGCACACACAACAGTCAGAGTTTTCCCCCCCATAACCCGCAGGCGTAGGGAGGCGACCCTCTCGTCCACTGGGGTAAACTCCAACAACGAAGCACCTAACCGGGGACTTGTGAGTATCCCCACACCCGCCCGGCGCCTCACACCTTGAGCGACTCCGGAGAAGAATAGAGTCCAACCCCTATCCAGAGTAAGGTTCCAGAGCCGACGCTGTGCGTAGAGGTGAGTCCAACCAGATCCATCTGGTAATGCTCCACCTCCCGCACAAGCTCCGGCTCCTTCCCCCCCAGAGAGGTGACGTTCCACGTCCCCAAAGCCAGCTTCTGTCGCCCGGGTCTGGTCCGTCGAGACCCTCCGCTTTCACTGCCACCCTTCTGGCAGCGCACCCGACCCCATCGCTGTTTCCCGTAGGTGGTGGGCCCGCGGGACGGAGAAGCGGAGGTGTTGCCCACGTTGCCTTTTCGGGCTGGGCCCGGCCGGGCTCCGTGGCAAGCCCGGCCACCAGACGCTCGCCGACGAGTCCTCCTTCTGGGCCTGGCTCCAGAAGGGGACCCCGGGCATCCTCCGGGCCGGGTATCCTCACTTCTTGTGTCGTCTTTCATGAGGTCTTTTGAACCAATCTTAGTCTGGCCCCTTGCCTGAGACCAATTTGCCATGGGAGACCCTACCAGGAACACAAGGTTCCAGACAACACAGCCCCCAGGTTCATCAGGGCACACAAACCTCTCTACCACGGTAAGGTGCTGGTTCTTCAGAGAGGAAACGTCCAAACATCCAAACATCCAAATAGAAATCGTAGAAAAAATTCCCTCCTCATAATTGTGGAACTCGCCTAAGAATCGCTGTTTTTAAGCTTTTTTAAGTATCAAAATAAAGCAGCGATAGTTGTTTCTATATCCATAGGTACATTACAAAATACTCATATTAATAACTAATTCGGCATACTTTTAATTTGCCTATTTGCAAACCAATATATGCTAAAGAAATAAAGGGTTCAAGCTGTAGCCCACAGCAGGGGCGGATCTAGAAACATATTCATGGGGTGGCAAGAGGGTGGCAGGAGATTTTGAGGGGTGGCATACCCTGGCAGAAGTATATGCTGATGTAATCGCAGTCATATCAATCAATGTTAACCTCGGAAAGCCATAATATTGATATTTTAACTAAATAACATTAGGTGACATTATTGTGGCACAACAGTAAATCCTTAAATATAAATATATAAGGTGGCAGACATAATATAATGAATTTTAAATGAACAAACTGAATGAGTTTGTTTCACTCTTAGACCAGCAGAGGTACCAAATATGCAGACTGCTGCAATAAGTACATTAATTAACTGTCTCATCGAATCGATGTTTGTCTGAATTAATATGATAATATTAACAATCATATCATTCCTATCAGCTGTCAATCACTGCATCAGTTAGGGTTCAAAAACGTGTATTCAGCTAAAACATATACATCACTGCAGTTATTATCCAGTGGAAAGCCCTTACCTACTGGCCTAGTTAAATCAAAGTGGTTACTTTTTTTTGGCTGGGCAGTGTAGTTTTACACACCGTCTTATTTGACTTTCTCAGGACTTAAAGGTCCCATGTCATGGCCATTTCTACTGATCATATTTCCATTGTTGAGGTCTACTAGAATAGATTTAAATTGTGCAATTTTCCAAAATCACATTGGTTTCAAACCAATGTGATTTTGAATATGCATGTATGTGTATTGTATTGTATTGTAGTATGTGTATTCACCAGGTATTCAATCTCTGTCCTAAACGGCTTGTTGGAGCTTGTTGGAGCTCGCCCCGCCCATAAATGATAAAAATGAAACAAAGGATCCAGCTTGACAAAAACCTCAACCTGCCAATGGGTTTCTCCCTTCTCCGTTCCTCCTTGTATAAAAACGCTTCAATGACTTTGTTTAGTGGGTTTACTTGGAAATAAATATTCTGGTTATGGTCTGGTTATTACAGTAGGCACGCCAGTATTACATATACAAGCAGTTAACAGGTTATTAAAGTTGAATGTAAACAGTATTTCCCCTATGAGATTATAACCAGGATATGACTAAAGAGGGTTACTAATATGCAGTGGTGGCCCCAGGCTGTCTGAGGAACAGGGGCGACGGAAAATAAAAGGTAATTTTAAGGCAATCCTAGAGGTCATTTGCATTTCCTTCACTTGAAAGGAGCACCAGGGCATGTTAAAATATATTTTTTACTGGATCACATTTTATACACGGGAAGGGCACCAGAGGGGAACTTTTACTGCATGTTTTGAGTCCAGCAGTGCTACATATGTATCTCATAGAGTACCTAATGAGAAATGTGGTAAATCCTCCCTGATTTTGTTTGATTTTTTTCTTTGTTTACTGCAGATGTTTTCTTCTCCCTCAGTCTCGCTCTAATGGTGGCCAGCCTGTTGGAGACGGTGTTGATCACTTATGTGCATTTCAGCTCGAGTCAGTACAGTGCGGTCCCTCACTGGCTCAGTGTCATCGTGCTGCGATATCTAGCTGTCGGTGTCTGTCTCCCTCCAAAGAAAAAGAGCAACAGAGTCACTGTCGTCCTCTCTCCTGCTAAAGGTTTATTATTATTATTTTATTAAATACAGATATATTTATATTTTACTCAAAAATTCCAATCTTTCCACTGGTGTACACATGTCGCTCCAGAAGCCCCCTTTGGTTGGATTGTATTCAAAGTATTGCTGCCATGGTTTACCTTATGCAGAGATTTCAAGCAGTAGGATAACAATTGAATGTTTTAAGTGTCCTGATGATAATTTTATATTACACCTGCCATAAAGAAACTATTCTTCATACCCATTGGATAATCTATTAGACTGGGAAATAGACGTTTTCCGCACAAGTTTGTCTTTGTCACATATGTTCGATTTCAAATAAGCTGTTCTTTGTTTTTGACAGAAAAAGAAAAGGATTTCAGCTTCAACAACATCTCAGCAATTCATCTTCAGCGTACCCCTGGTGAAACATCTCCAGAAAAACAGCCTGTGGAGCCGGCCCTGGAAGAACTGAGGAAGCTGAGCAGAGATCTCTTGGCCGTCCGCTTCCAGATGGACAAACACTTCCAGGGGAGCACCTCCTCTCAGGAATGGCAAATGATCGGGATAGTCATCGACCGTCTGCTGTTCGGCTTGTACCTCGTCTTCATCATTGTCAGCTTCATCACTATTATATGTATCTGGAGCAGGAGCAGCTATACAGTATGATTAACATAGTGCAGGGGTGCCCAACCAGTCGATCGCGATCGACCGGTCGATCGCGGGGAGATTCCCAGTCGATCGCGAGATGTGTCTAAAAATAGAACAACAATATTCTGTTTTATCGTTAATGTCCTATAACATAATCTTCCCGTGCCAGAATAATGCACTTGAACGCACCAAAGCTTTGTGATTGGCCGGCGTGACCCCATGTCACGTGGCTGGTGGGCACTATTTCGCTGAGGTTGTCCGTGTCAACAGGAGTGACAGTCCGCACACACACAAGACCGCAATTATGTCAGAAGCAAAAAAGCCCAAAATATATAATTTTCACTCTGAGTGGGAGGATGATTATTTTTGTATCTATTCCAATTCAAAGTCCTTCTGTCTCATCTGCCATGCGAGCGTGGCTTTATTGAAGAAGGGTAATTTAGGAGCGGCATTTCAAAACAGTGCACAAACGCTACGAGACGGAATTCCCTCCTAATTCTGCCCTACGCTCCCAAAAGGGGAGGGACCTGAAAGGACAGCTAAATGCACAGCAGCCCATTTTCACCAGGCCCAACAACAAGAGCAAGGCTGCGACCATAGCATCTTATCGTGCCAGTCACGTTCTTGCGAAACACATAAAGTCTGCAAAGACTGCAAAGTTGTGAAAGAAGCATTCCTGGAGGCTGCCGACGCGCTTTTTGGGGACAGTAAAAATAACAGAAACATTTCAACAGGTTTTCGATATACGAAAAACTCATGTTAGATACCGTTATTAATCAGCCGTAAGTTTTAGTTAGTTTGAACTTATTCATTATAATTATTGTTCAAAATGGTATAAGAATGCACACTTAAATTGATTATAGTCTATCATCAATTCAGGTTAAGAAACTAGTGTTGCTTACATCCTATTTTAAAGGCATTTATTTTTATACTCCACTAAAATGCAACAAAAAAAGGGTTTGATTCTATTAATTTTGTCTTTTTTATTGCACTTTGGCAGCAGATTCCTGTGTAGCTTCAGATCTGAGTTGTTTTATTAGTAAGCCTAATTTTATTGGCAAAGAAAGGGTTCAGCGTCTTTTCTTTTTTTCCTGTCATATGTGGCAGCACTGTTCAATGTTTCTTGAGAACATTACCCACTGTAGTATGTGACGTGTGAATAAACTCCAACTCTGTATCAACAACACTGTTGTGTAACTTCAGTTAAACACTTGTATGTGTGTAGATTAGAAAGAGGTAAGATAAAGGATCTGCAGTATTTTATGGAGTATTAATCGTACAAAGGTCAGTTTTATACAAGTAGAAGTGTGCAGGGCCGCCCCTGGCCAACATGGGGCCCCAAGCGACATTGTGAGATGAGCCCCCCCCCCCCCCCCCCCCCCCCCCCCCCCCCAACCGACAGGACTGAAAAAAAATGTTTTGGAAACAAAGTAGGCTACTTTGCAAATATAATTCCTGTTTATTATTATTATCAACACAGTTACTTTTTTATACAGTGAGGTAAATGGTAAAAGTGCATGTATGTTGTTCAGTATGAATTTACGTCTGCATTTCCTGCCAAATACTAGCCTCAAAAAGATTAAAATATAATGAATGCAAATAAACTACTTCTACTAATAATCATAATCAATTCAATAATATAAATACTATATTATTTTTATTATAATATAGTTGTAATATAGTCAAGACAAAATATGCTTATGACATGCTCAAAAACTGATATTTCTTAAATCTGTATTTAAATGTAGTTCCCTCTGTCAGCAATGTATCAACAACTACACACACATTTCTATCAGTATGTGGTTGACATGATGATGACTGTTAGGAGTTAAGGGGAGAGGCTGAGCGTCACCATGAAATGTGCAAATTGACATAAAAATGAATAAAAGGGGAAAAAATGCTCCATGTTTTTTAGGCTGTAAACTTTAACTGTTATGTAAGCCAACTAGACAGACAGTGTATCTCTCTTCCTCCTGTACATTAGCAGATAAAAGGCATAACATACTTGAATGAATGTTAAATAAAGAACGCTGGAAATAACTGCATCTCCATTAGCCTATATGCTATGCAGAGACTATCTTCTTCATGTCGTGAATTGCAGCTGATGTTTTAATATGGCAATTGGCAATTTGACTTATACAACATTCGCAAGTTGTACATTTTTGACTCATACAACAATAACCCACCTTCGAGTGATGCTCTAGTTTCTTCATGTTTTGTTTTTTTTTCCCTCTTGCTTGCGCCGAACTGAAACTAGGCTTGTTTGAGACAAGCGAGACCTGCGCAGTTGCGATCAACGTCTTGCTAGTGCGTTGCATGATGGTTAGTCATTTTGTCCGACTCGCTCTGGAGGCTCGCCTACATGAGACGTTGAAATCTCGCGGGACAAAGACGCCGCAGCCTTGAGAGCGAGGCGCGGCGAGGCGGCACAGTTCCTCTCCACGGGCTGCGGAAGCGAAATGCTTGATGGGAAACGACTCGCTGGTATCTCGAGCTGAGCGCTCATTGGTGGTTTTTACCACGTGCTGGTGATGAAACTCTCCAAGTTTGTTGTTGTTTTGTGTCAGTTTTACGTCGCCACATTAATATCTATATATGTTATACTATACTTGCACTGCTTACCGTTTTCATACTTTATATATCTTAGCATATTCATACACACTGTTCATACTGCTCACAGGCTGATATCTAGTGTATTCATACCCCTCACTGTTTATTCATCTTTCAATTCATTCTATATTTTATTCTGTAGATTGTGAACATTACTTTTCACTTTACTGCTTGTTGCACCTGTATTTCGTTGTCTCAGTACCTGTAATATGTGCAATAACAATAAAGTTGAATCTAATCTTGAGCAGGAACAAATGTATTTACTTAGTACATATCTGACATTAACGATTAAACACATGTGTGCATTCTTTATAAATGCAAACCGAGTCAAGCCGACTCCGGAGGTGGCGGTATGCACCTTAAAGTTGTTTGCAATCCTCCAAAAAACCGAGAGAAGAAGAAGAAGAAGACGACTCCGAGCTGTCCGACTTCAGGCAAGCTTTTTGAGCCCTCCCCCGGCTGCGATCGGCTATTCTCGTCTACTTTCGAGGCGAGCCGCAACGCGTCTCAAACAAGCTTAGCGTCTTTTCATCGACATCTCTTCACCTGCACTAGTGGCCGTATCAAAGCCGTGATTGGTCAGATGTCGATTCATTGCAACGGTATCGGGTTACAGACGTGTTCCCCTTGTCATCTCTCACTCTCGCGGGGGGTGCGCGGAGAACTGCGCAGAGAACTGGCACAGCAGCTGAGGCCCTCTGGGCAAGGCGGGGCCCCCTGCACAAGGCGGGGCCCCATGCAGCCTGCGTGATTGGCCTGTAGGGAGGGGCGGCCCTGGAAGTGTGTATTTACCTGGTCGGCTGTCAGTAACTACGCCTCTCTATTTGGACTGGTAGATCTCGGCAGCCTGGCAACTTTAAAAGTAGCTCTCGGTTAAAAAAAGGTTGGGCACCCCTGACCTAGTGCAACACCTTAAATTAAGATTACTCCTTGATTGACTTTTAAAAATCTGTATTTTAGCCAGATGAATAGTTGTATTTATTAACTGTGTGCGGTCTTCATCTAAAAGCCCAAATAAAATATTAAAGGGTGTAAATGTCAATTCAATATTTGCCGCCAAATAATTTGCAAAACATTATGATTTGTGTGGAAACATTTTCATTACTAAGATTAGTTTTTTTTTTTTAAACCTCTTTTCCTTTCTTTCTTGATCCTCCTTAGCAACGGTCATTACAGTCCTTGACAACGGTCTGTTCTACTGGATTTACAACGTGTCACATGTTCTGAATTGACCAATCAGGACTTTATTTAGCCTCCGTATTGTTTATGGTTGAATGTGGGCCGCAACATTTTTATTCTAAAAGGTGGGGTAGGTAATTCACTTCAAAAACACTTTTTGTTATATTCCATGGAATGCTCTTAACATCCCGATATCAATGAATATATTAAATGCTTTGACAATAAATACATAAACAAATGTCCTCTATGGATGCCGTAGCACTGTAAAAAGCACGACCAATCATTTTAGCCGGCTCGGCTAAAATAACTGGATGGCCTACCTGCCTGTCAGCCTTCCATCTGTGCACACATTTATCTCGTGCCCTCATTGGTCATGTGCGCGTTCGTGTGTGTTGGAGGAGGGGCTCTGTAAGGAAGTCTGAAGGAAGAGGCAGATTTTTTCCGGTTGTGTGCTTTCAAATTCTAGCGCACTCGAGCTGGTTTCTCCATTCTTACCTACCCTACTTTTAAGTGGGCCCTGAGTTGAAAAAGGTTGGGAACCGCTGACCTAGAGGGTTAAACGCCTGGTTGAGAAAATGATTACACATAGTAGCAGCTTATATTATGATAAACTGTGACAATAAATGATTTGAGTTTATGGATCTTGCAAAAGCCTGTTGAGATCATATGAAGTTTTGACTACATATTTTAACAATAAATATAGCTGTCTCTGTGACTTTGTAGCAATCTGGTGTCATACCAAAAATAGTTTTGAGTTTTGACCTATGGTTTTGACCCATACTGGTGGCCTGTGTGAGACTTCACTTAGGCCCATTCCCAAACCCCTACACCTACAACCTACCCCTCCGTTTGCGCGTTCACGCGGAGGGTCCGCCATATTAAGTGCTGTTCCAAACCAACGAGTGTGGAGCGGTGTGGAGGGGGAGTGGGCTATCAAGCCCTCAAACAGCGAGGTTGCGTTCCAATAGTCCATTTAGCTTAGGAACCTTCCTAACCAAGTGAAATGACCCGGAAGTCCCTCAGTGGGAGCCATGATAAGTGCCGTTCCAATTCTCTAAATGAAAGGAAAGGAGGTTTCAAACTTCCTTTATAACCTCCTTTAGCTTAGGAACCACTGGACCTCCCTTACCGAAAGGAGAGGAGAAAATATTTCCTTGACAGGAGGAAGATAGTTGTAGCTAAACAGAACTACCGCTGCGCTGGCTGTGGTACTCGCATCGACCCAGGTATTACCAAAAATACTCCAGAAGTCCATTTTTTATCAAAGTTTCAGTTCTTGTTTTTAATGTAATTTACCAAGTAAGTCGTTAACACTTTTTCTTAGTTGGTCAGCTTGCCATAAACTTTTCCTATTGTACTTCTCTTTTTATATTAACAATTCTATGCAAATATACTTTAACTTTACTTTACTAATTCCATATTCTTACCTTTACCCCACATGTGTCTCTGCTTTCTATCCACACTTCAGATTATATCAAGCGCCTGCGTTACTGTGAATACCTCGGCCGTTACTTCTGCCAGTGTTGCCATGAGAACGCCCAGGCGGTTGTTCCCGGCCGAGTGTTGAGGAAGTGGGACTTCAGCAAGTACTATGTCAGCAACTTCGCCCGGGACCTGCTGAGCAAGATCGCAGGAGACCCTCTGTTCAACCCCAATGACATCAACAGTGGCCTGTACAAGAAGAACAAAGCTCTGGAGGTCGTCAGGGTGAGCACAGCCGGATGGAAAATAAGTCATTAGGAATGTTTTGTCAGATCTATTTTCTTAAACTTTCTCTGTGTTTTTACCACAATAACACGTTTCACTTCTGTTTATTAAATTAGCTGAACTATGTTCTAAAGTCGTCTGCTAAGCATGATGTATCGTAATTATAAACTAGCAAACTTGTGACTGACTTAAAATACATTAGAATGAATAGAGCCATTTATAGCCATTTCTCCTTGGAAACAGACATGTGATTCTGAAAAAGGCACATCCTAATGGACATGGTTTGTTGGGATTGTGCTAACAGAGCAAGAATACAATGTTAAACCTTCTCATGGAGAGGAGAAAAGGCACAAGATATTTTTCATGCAGGATATAGCTACTACAAAATATGAGAAATTAGACACTTGCTCATGTCAGTTAGCTGTCAGGGCCAATCATTATCAAACATTTTAACAGCACAGATGCTGCAGTTGCCAGAAAGGCTCAATTGTGTCTGTGGCACTTGAGCAGGCAATAGTTATATAGTATAGTAGGAGACCTTTAACATGAAGAGTTAATCCATCTAATTATTGCAGTGATTTCATACAAAAGTAAAATATTAAACCGGTGACCTACTGCATGAGGAACTGTTGTAATGTCTGCACATTTCCATAATCAAATGTCTGTTTTTCTCTGTCCTTTTTGTTCCTTGAAACTCTTCTAGCTGTGCCAGGCGAAGGGCTTCGTGTGCGAGTTCTGCGGTAACGAGAAAGACATCATCTTCCCCTTCCAGCTGAACAAGTGCCAGCACTGTGAAGGTGAGCCCTCTCTGCTCGCGGCAGGCCAGGGCGGCCCAAAAGCCCCCTTCCCCAGCCCCTTCGTTTCACTTCCTTGGAGTGACTGGAACATCTCCAAACATCGTAGGCTGATGAGGGCTATCTTTAAAGACAGGAGGGAGGGGGAGGGAGGGGGAGGGAGGGGAGCCGGGTTTAGAGCGAGGTGTTGATCAGGGGGTGAAGGGTGGAGGTCAAGAGGAAAGGGGGGGCACAGCAGGAGAGAGACAGGAAAGAGGGGGAATATTTCAAGTGTTCACACCTGGAATGTTTGCGAAAGCTTTCACCAGGAGTAAAGGCAACGAGGAAGAGCAGGAGGTTAAAGCAGACACAGAATCAGAGGGGGAGAAAGAAGTAAAGTGTGATGAAGGAAATGGTAAAGATGGAGATGATTGTAGCCAAGAGAGAGAGAAGCGGAAGGGAAGGGGAAATGCAAGAAAGGAAAGAGGAAACATATTGAAGGTTCTTCAGATTGACAGACTAAAGAAGAACATAGCGAAAGCAGACAGGAGGGACAGTGACAGCGAAACATGCAGCAGCAGGGAGAGTCTAAATGAAGTCGATCAGGTTGTAAAAGCACGCTGGAGTGTACCAGGGTTAGCAAGTCTTGTCAAGGGTTTCTCCAAAAGAGAGATAGAGGATGAAGGAAAAGCAGAAGTGAAAGAAGAAGACTCTGAAGAAGAATTTTCAGAGAAAGAAACAGAATCTGTGGAGGAAGGAAAACCCAGCAGTAAGGGGGAGGAGGATTATGACATTTCAGACAAAGGCCAAACAGAGTCAGCTAAAAGAGAGAACTCTGGTGCAGATAATGTGGAGAAGTTTTCATTTATGAAATTGTTACAACCCAATCAGCTGTCGGCTATTTTCTCCAAAGGGAGGAGCAAAGGAAAGGTGGATAGGAGTGAGGAGAGTGAGGTGAAAAGAGAGAGGGACACTGAGAAGGTCCAACCTGAGCCACACGGGGTCGTTACTAAAAAAAATATATATATGACATATTATTTTTTTTAAATATATATATATTACACTACTTCGTTACTCTCTACATAAAGTAACTTGTTACTTTACTCGCAGGGCCGGCCCACCCCTCCCTACAGGCAGATCACGCAGACTGCGGCGCACCTACAGTGTAAGCGCACCACAGTTCTCATTCATAACACTCCGTTCGATGTCTCACTATGGGATGCGCCTCATCGCGGAGCAAACAGAAGCATCAATCTCATTACGCCAATCCTGATTGGCTGGTGATCTTGACGTCAGCGTCAGGGAATTCACCCCCTATAAGTAGCTTGCGCCACGACGCATGCGCCATTCAAACACCTCTTCTCGCTTCAGAGCACATCTCTATAGTAGCCGGACAAGCTTAACGGTCCACAGACTGAACCCAAATATAACCATTTCGGTCGACGGGCGCTCGCCGGCTACTCCTTCTGCTTCGCAAGAAGACGGTAATACTAACGCCAGTTAGTATTAAAATCGACCTCGCCGTTTCTTTCCCCGGAAAGTAAGGTAAGGTTTTGATTTTTCTCAAGCTAGCTACGCACCTGTTGCTAGCTAGCTTCCCCTTACTACCGACACCACGGTAGCGAGGACGCTTTTCTTTTTCTCTCTCACGGAGGAGAAAAGGATTAGAAGTATATTGACACACCAGTCAATATTCTTTGAGAACAAAGGACCCACACCGTCCCTTTTTCTCCGGATTAAGGACGGGTTGGTAACACTTTTTCTCTCAACGACGTACCTGTTACGAGTGGGTCCTCTCCACGCCACGAGGCGAACAAGATGGACGCCTCTCCCCCTCACACCAGAGGAGTCAGGGACTCGGAGGCTCGGTCATGCGGCTGCGGGTTGAAGATAGCAGGCACAGACTCACACCAGGTCTGCTCGTCCTGCCTCGGGCTGGAACACGCCCAGGAGGCTATCGACAACCCCGGCTCATGCGGGCATTGTGCCTGTTTCATTCACCCGAAAGAGCCTCCACCGACGGCTAGCACACCAAGCTAGCTTGTTGGAACAGGACTCCCTCATGTCCACTGATTCGCCGTTTGGCAATCAAGACACGGGGGCGTCCGCCGCAGAGACTGAGCCCCTCACTGTGTCGGTCTGGGGCTCACTAACAGCGGCAGCTGCGGAACCGGGATCCCACGCCGTGTAAGGCCGGGACCCGGTGGCGGCAAGAGACGCGGGAACGGAGCCCCACGCCTCACCAGGCGGGAGCTCCCGGCGAGACCTCACCATGATCTCGCCCGCAGAGGCTCGGCCTGCTCCGCATACCGCCGATGGAACTGCTGGTGGCAGCCCACCTCCTACCGAGGATGGGCCCGTCACCAAGCAGGAACCCCACGATGCCAGCGAAGGTGGACCGTTTCCAGTCGACCATGACTGAACGGTCCTACAGAGCCGCAGCGTTGTCCGCCAGGGCTCTGAACGTTTCCTCACTGCTAAACCGCATACCAAGCGGAGCTCTGTGAGGATATGTTGAGTAATCCTGGACCGGCCGTTCTGGATGAGTTGGCCGCGGTCACAGACATTTGTCTCCGTGTCCAACGCTGCGCCGTCCAGGCCACGGGCAAAACAATGGGGATCATGGTGGTGCAGGAAAGGGCGAGATGGCTCAACCTCACCAACCTCCCAGACCGGGAAAAGGAGGATGTGCTTGACATGCCCATCGTTCCCGAGGGGATTTTCGGCTCCGCTCTTGCCTCCATGCAGAGGAGATGCGAGTCGAAAAAGAAGGAGGACGAGGCCCTCCACCTCTGCCTCCCTCGAAGGGCCCAGCCGCTGCCTTCGCAGCGGCAGCCCTTCGTCCAAGCTGCTCGGTTCAAAATACTGAAAGCGCAGAGGTCGCAGTCCGCCCCGAGTCCTCAGCCCAGGCAGGGGACGAGGGCGAGCTGGCCTAGAAAATCTCCGGTTCCGGCTGCAGCCCAGGCGCAGCCAACACAGAATTTCGGCCAGCAGTCGAGGAAGAAGAAGCGAGCGGCGTGACAGAGCTGGAAGTCTACGGTTCCCCAGCTCTAAATGTGTTCCCGCCGCCTCGAGAGATGCCTCAACACCATCCTCAAGTCCGCGTAAACACATGTCACACACTTATTGATTTTTCTGTCATAAAACATTTTCCGCTGACGCATCCAGGCTTCGAGCCAAGGGCGCAGCTCGAAAAAATGAAAAGAAAAACAATAAAAACAATAAACAGTCCGTCAACTGTTCCCCTTCTGAGAGCAGCTACGGCCTCTCTCAAAGGGCGGACAATTGACGGGTCTGTGAAGGCACCACCGTCATGCGCAGTGCCGGCTGGGGCTGTAAAGGCACCACCGTCATGCGCAAGCGCAGTGCCGGCTGGGGTCGTGAAGGCACCACCGTCACGCGCATGCGCAGTGCCGGCTGGAGCTGTAAAGGCACCACCGTCACGCGCAAGCGCAGTGCCGGCTGGGGTCGTGAAGGCACCACCGTCACGCACATGCGCAGTGCCGGCTGGAGCTGTAAAGGCACCACCGTCACGCGCATGCGCAGTGCCGGCTGGGGTCGTGAAGGCACCACCGTCACGCGCATGCGCAGTGCCGGCTGGAGCTGTAAAGGCACCACCGTCACGTGCATGCGCAGTGCCGGCTGGAGCTGTAAAGGCACCACCGTCACGCGCATGCGCAGTGCCGGCTGGGGTCGTGAAGACACCACCGTCACGCACATGCGCAGTGCCGGCTGGAGCTGTAAAGGCACCACCGTCACGCGCATGCGCAGTGCCGGCTGGGGTCGTGAAGGCACCACCGTCACGCGCATGCGCAGTGCCGGCTGGAGCTGTAAAGGCACCACCGTCACGTGCATGCGCAGTGCCGGCTGGAGCTGTAAAGGCACCACCGTCACGCGCATGCGCAGTGCCGGCTGGTGTTGTGAAAGCACCACCGTCACGCGCATGCGCAGTGCCGGCTGGAGCCGTAAGGGCACCACCGCCACGCGCATGCGCAGTGCCGGCTGGAGCCGTAAGGGCACCACCGCCACGCGCATGCACTGTGTCGGTGGGGATTGTCGAAATGGGGCACCACAGTGCTCAGACACTGGAGGGCCCCATAACACAACAAATAGAGACTCAGAGGGGAAGAGACGTGACATCTCAGCTGGCTCTAAGGAGCATACAGCGGGAGATGCTCACGATATCTGCTTGGGTTTCTCAAGACAGTTACACGGAGCTACAGACTCCAAGTCACCGTCACCCCCCCTCGCTTCTCGGGCATTCTGCATTCGCAGGCCCGAGGAGAGTCAGCCCATAGAGTTATGGTTACTGTGAAATGCGTAATGGCACTGCGCCACTGGCTGCACCCAACTTTTCTAGTACGAGGTGTGCCTATGGGTGCTGTCCTTTCACGGAAAGTGATCACCACGGACGCATGTCTGACAGGTTGGGGAGGTATTTATGAAGGTCGCCCGGTGAGGGGTCTCTGGAGCAGAGACCTCCAGCGGGCGCACATAAATTACCTGGAGCTTTTAGCGGTGTTTCTCACCCTAAAACGCTTTCTGCCTTTCCTCAGGGGACATCACGTCCTTGTGAGGACAGACAATATGACCACAATATCGTATATTAACCGCCAAGGGGGTTTGCGTTCTCTCCAGTTACACACACTGGCGCGCAAACTGATCCTATGGAGCGGTAGACGTCTCCTCTCTCTGAGAGCGACGCACGTACCGGGAGTGATGAACCTCGGGGCAGATCTACTGTCCAGAGGTATACCACTTTATGCAGACTGGACTCTACATCCAAGGATCTGTTCGCATTGAAAGACAACGCTCAGTGTCAGCTGTTCTTTTCGATGCGCGATCTAAATGCACCGTTAGGCGTGGATGCACTCGCGCACGATTGGCCCCCGGGCCTTCTGTACGCGTTCCCACCCCTGGCTCTGATACCCCCAACTCTGGCCAGAGTGAGAGAGCAACGCCACACACTTATCCTGATAGCTCCGCACTGGCCAGCTATGTACTGGCTAGCGGAGATATATCAG